GGGTTGCGATCCGTTGCCGGACACGGAAAAAGACAAAAGACAAAAAAAAAAAAAGATATTTGTCAAGCTAAATGAATTTCCAGCTACTAAATTTAGGCAGTAAATTAAATTAAAGAAATAGAAAAGCAAAAAGAAAGGAGACTAACATTACCACATATGATATTTTGTTTAATCATCAGAAAAAGCACTATTATCTTCATTTTGCCAGTGAGTAAATTGAGGCACAGAAAGGTTAATTAAGTTGCCCGATTTCACACAGTAAGCTGGTAAGTTGCAAAGCTAGGATCCTGACAAACATCTGTCTACACTTAAAAAAATTGCTGGGGCCATCACTTGAATGTCCTTTATGATGGACATTTGTGCAGCTCTTAACACACACTAACACTTCTGCATACATTATTTCATCTGTTCTCAATATCCCTATAAAGTACTTTATAATTAGGAAACCACAGCTCAGAAAGGTTAGCATCATCGTGTCCAAGGTTACACAGCAATGAGGTCTGCCTGGCTCTGAAGCACGCTTGCATTCCATCTTACAAGGCTAACAGTAAATGCCTACAGAAGGATTCAGACAGATAGCTCAATTCCCTAAGGCTCTTCTCCTGGGTTCCCCCCAGAGGTTAGACAAATCAATATACTTCTACAGAGCCTAATAACCCAAGAGCGACTTAGCCACTGGAGAAAACTGTGGGTCATTATTTTTTTAAAAGAGCAATGGACTTTACTGAATGCCAACTGCTATAATTGGTCCTGTCATAGAAAGATCAATGGGCACTAAAAGGGAGTCCCCTCGCTGAAGGAGGTCATGGTCAAGTGGACAGACAAGACAGGTAAACAGATAACAGGAGATAAGTACTATGACAGAGGTATGATCAGAGACCTACTAGGGTCCGCAAGAGGTACCCTCCAGCCAGCATTGGTTCCTCAATGAAGACAGGCCCAGAACTTGGTCCATTTCTCATCCACACTTTTTTTTCCATTTATCTTTCCCTTTTTAATACTAGTCTCTCTACCATCCACCCCACTCCCTCCATCCCCTTCTTTATAAATCTTATAGAAACTGGTGATACCACTTTGGCAGCATTAAGTTTTATATCAGTAGAATGTAAGCACCACAAAAGCAGAAATTTTTGTCTGGTTTATTCATTGTTATGTCCTCCTGTGCCTAGAACAGTACCTGGCACATACGTGGATGCTCAACAAATACATGTGTTGGAAGAAAAATCTGATACTCAATTAAGAATTCTTAAAATTTTTACTGTAAAAAGAATGATGAGCTTAATAAATTAAAAATGAAAAAGACCTCCCCTCCCCTGCCCTTAATAGCACAGATTTCTCCTGCTACGTCTACACACTCATTCCTCCATCGTTTCATTTTCCCACATTTAGTAGCTTCCACTGTGATGCCCTGTTGTCCTAGACTGTGAGCTTCTGTGCCCATTCCTGGTGTAGAAAAGGCCTCTTTAGTGTAAATGCCATCAGTGACAGCCAGCAGCCTCTGATGTACTGTGTTCTGTGTAGATTGGGATTTGGAATTCTAACAGCGGGCTTAACATGACAGACGGCAACAAAGACAAGTCCAACAATATCACTGATTCACTGGCCAACCGAACACTCATTGTCACCACCATTCTGGTAAGTCAACTGCATGAAATTCAGGGCATCTCATTCAGACTCTACCCTGGACTTTGAAGAATTCCCCAGCTGTGTTTTTCATACCAGCAATTCTGTCTGCAAATGTTTATTTCTAACTGGGACACTAAAAGCATCCATTTGTGTGTACTTATACTAAGATTGCATTACAGACTTCCCACATTTTTCTGGAGATTCCCTACCTCCAATCCATTCTCAGCTCTGCTCTACCCTCTCTCTATCCCCACCCAGCTGTTCTCCTTTGCTCTCTGGCTTCTGGTTGGTTTCAACCAAAGAGACTCTGGCAAGAGACCAGGGAAGTGGCAGGAGAGAGCTAAGGGAATTTCTTACGCCATTCCCTCCCAACTGCTACCCATGGTTTTGTCAGAACCTCTGTCCTTCTACAACCATGACTCCTGCCCTGTCAATGACCCTGCTTCCAGGGTCCAGCTGCACTGGGCTCCAGGGGAATTCTTTCCTCTCTCCTTGCCTCAGCCCTGGGTGGCCCTGATGGTCCCTGGGTATCTGCACTCCAGCCCCCATCTCACCCCTACTCCCTTGGCTCTCTTTGCTCTGCCTACAACTCTGTCAATAGCTCCTTTATTAACTGTTCCTCAAAAGTTCTACCTCCTGTTGGAACCCTGACTACAGCCCCATCCAGCCACTGTACACTCCTGCCAGTCATTATTCTCTCCCTTTTCCTCTCCCAAGGGAGTTGGGCAGGAGGAGCCCTCTCTGAAATGTGCACTTGCACATATCTCTGCCTTATTTAATTCAGCCTATAATGTTAGGCCAATTTTTTTCTTTTGAAATAGTTAACTTGTGCAAGTTGTCCATCCAAAATAAAAACTGTTTTGTTCTTCTGGTTACTACTTTCTATGCAACTGTCTTATGGAAATACAGAGTTATTGTATTGTATTTGCATGACTCAACTATCAGTTTATTTGAAGATAAACATAAAGGACATGTCAGCATATTAACTAGTATAATTTTACAAAATAAAATGAACTTTCATTTAGTGAAATGAGAA